ACTGGAATTCTTGCCCATTCTTCCTTGCAAAACAGCTCAAGCTCAGTGAGGTTGGATGGAGAGTGTTTGTGAACAGCAGTTTTCAGCTCTTTCCACAGATTCTTGATTGGATTCAGGTCTGGACTTTGACTTGGCCATTCTAACACCTGGATACGTCTATTTGTGAACCATTCCATTGTAGATTTGGCTTTATGTTTTGGATCATTGTCCTGTTGGAAGATAAATCTCCGTCCCAGTCTCAGGTCTTTTGCAGACTCCAACAGGTTTTCTTCCAGAATGGTCCTGTATTTGGCTCCATCCATCTTCCCATCAATTTTAGCCATCTTCCCTGTCCCTGCTGAAGAAAAGCAGGCCCAAACCATGATGCTGCCACCACCATGTTTGACAGTGGGGATGGTGTGTTCAGGGTGATGAGCTGTGTTGCTTTTACGCCAAACATATCGTTTTGCATTGTGGCCAAAAAGTTCGATTTTGGTTTCATCTGACCAGAGCACCTTCTTCCACATGTTTGGTGTGTCTCCCAGGTGGATTGTGGCAAACTTTAAACAAGACTTTTATGGATATCTTTGAGAAATGGCTTTCATCTTGCCACTCTTCAGTAAAGGCCAGATTTGTGCAGTGCACGACTGATTGTTGTCCTATGGACAGATTCTCCCACCTCAGCTGTAGTTATCTGCAGTTCATCCAGAGTGATCATGGGCCTCTTGGCTGCATCTCTGATCAGTCTTCTCCTTGTTTGAGATGAAAGTTTGGAGGGACGGCCGGGTCTTGGTAGATTTGCAGTGGTCTGATACTCCTTCCATTTCAATATAATTGCTTGCACAGTGCTCCTTGAGATGTTTAAAGCTTGGGAAATCTGTTTGTATCCAAATCCGGCTTTAAACTTCTCCACAACAGTATCTCGGACCTGCCTGGTGTGTTCCTTTGTCTTCATGGTTCTCTCTGCGCTTTAAACAGAACCCTGAGACTATCAAAGAGCAGGTGCATTTATACGGAGACTTGATTACACACAGGTGCATTCTATTTATCATCATCAGTCATTTAGGACAACATTGGATCATTCAAAGATCCTCACTGAACTTCTGGAGTGAGTTTGCTGCACTGAAAGTAAAGGGGCCGAATAATATTGCACGGCCCACTTTTCAGTTTTTTATTTGTTAAAAAAGTTTCAATTATCCAATAAATTTTGTTCCACTTCACGATTGTGTCCCACTTGTTGTTGATTCATGACAAAAAATTTAAATTTTATATCTTTATGTTTGAAGCCTGAAATGTGGCGAAATGTTGAAAGGTTCAAGGGGGCCGAATACTTTCGCAAGGCACTGTATATGGTAGAGGGAGCATCATAATATCAGCCTGCTTTTCCTCAGCAGGGACACAGAAGAGTGTCAGATTTGGTCAAAAATACGGGGCTTTTTTTGAAGAAAAGATGTTAGAGTTCAAGACTTGGCTATGAAGGTTTGATTGGTCCTGGAAAAAAAAATAAAAAAATAAACTTTTCATACAGTGGAACAGTTTCCAGTCAAAGTCCAGACATAAATTCAATAGGTAAGCTGGACATTTGTGGACCTTTACTCAATTACTAAAAATGGCATCCAACAGGATGTTGAAAACATACAAACATGTATTTTTGTCAGCCTGAAAACGGAAGGCTTAACACTAACTCCCAGAATTCCTCCCAGCTATGACTGGTGAATATAACTTGAAATACAGTAAAAAAATAATGTATTGAAAGGTTACCCAATGCTTATACATAGTTCCCACAGACCAATGAATGTCACATGACCTCCTCGGAGACGCCATCTTTGATGGCACGCTGCTGTGTTTGTGCATTCCATTAAACAGAAGAATGAGAATAAATGTAGATATTCAAACGCAAATTGGAAAAAAGGGCAACTTTTGAGCAAATAATTGTATATTAATACAATGGCACCACAGTTTAACGTGCTACGGACATGTTTTACATATTTGATCAAATTATGCAGCAAAAATTAACAAGCAATGCAAACATTTCTCAAAAACTTTAGATTTAATACCAGTTGGAGCTCCATTTAATTATTTTAATTATATTAACAATTAATTTAATTAATGCTAATGCCACACGGACACTCTGGATTGCTGTTATTGTTTATTTCCGCGTTTTTGACCGTATGTTTTGGTGAATGGTGGGCAACTGATTTTTCCAGGCGTAAAGAGCAGTTTATTTTATGACACAGATCTTTTTACAGAAGCAATGCTGTTTGTGAACATTGTTTTAGCCCACCATAGAACTATTATTATCTATTTAATACATTTACGTTGCCCTCGAGAGCCTCGGACGCGACACCGATCCTCCTCATAATAAAGTAATCTAACACTAAATAATGAAACTCTCAAGTTACCAGATATCAGCATACACAAGTTAGTACTGAGTAAATTACGTCTGTCAACACATTATAAGATACGATACGCACCTGACACAAAGTGCTCCGAGCATATTCTTGCGTGTTTTGAGGGAGTTTCTTGCCTGTTTATCTTCGCAAGCCATAACCTCCGTGGTTGTTCTGACAAAAGCTTAGTCTTCTCACATTCATGAAGTCTAATGATGGGTATACTGTAAAATCCAAGTTTAACGGAACCTCCGGCACGATTTGAACATCCATTGACCCAGCAGGAGATGACCATTTTCAACTTTATCACGACATTAACACGTTTCAGCTTCTTTTTCTATTGTTTTGCCCACAGCATGCCAAGACAAATGGCGCCGGGTCGGCAAATCCCCGTATGTAGTGACGTCATGTGGGAACTATGTATTGCTGGCAAAAAAAACAGTGTTGCTATGGTAACTAACTGCTCGCGTTTAGAAAAAACAAAACATCATTTTATAAAAATAATGGTGCAGATATATACTACTTATAGATAAAGAACAAGTCACAAGGTTATAAAGACTAAACATGTACATACACTGAGTAATTACACTTCAAAAATAGTACTAGTATTTTCAGCAGTTCTCAGATGGGGTTCAGCAGGAAATCCACCCTCTCTCTCAGGTGCTTTATATACACTGAAGTGACTATAGCGTCCCTTTGGTAGGTCCCTGATATACGTTAATGCCAGTCAGAACACTAGTAAACGTGAAAGATGGCGTTGTCAGCGTGATGACACGATTCGTCACTGGAGCAGAGGATTTTGGCACCCTCCGAGGACCAGCATTTGTGAAAGCCTGTCTTTGTGCAGTGGCATTTCACACACATGCACGCACCACTGCAACCAACAACAAAGCCATGCTTATCCAGTTGTGCTACAGTGAGATTAGGAGACAATGGAACTTTTAAATCTAATGTAAGGATTGCCTGTTCCAGTCACATGTTTGTTTTCCTAATCTAAAATACGGAAAGGGTTTTATATGCTGTGATGAAGATTTGTTAGTGTACTGCAGTCTTTGGAGACGAGCTGTTAGAGATTTTAATACTAAACATATTCTCAAAATGCCTCAAGCTTGAAATGTTAGTCAAATGTATTCACAAGATTCAAATCCGCAGAACTTTACTCCTGACAGTTTGTTGATGATGCTCCAATTGGTTTGGTCTTAATTTCCAATTTCCAATATGGCAAGGCCACGCTAGCTATATTACTCCTGAATGAGTAGGGCGGGTAAATTTGTCTTGGGCATTGACACCAGGCATATCAAATAATAACAATGGTCGCATACTTTTACAGATATAATAGTTGTCTGATAAAATGGCCACAGTGATTCCAAAGTGTTATGCAGGATCCTCTAGATCACAGCTCAAGCATAGTCCAGTTACTTGCACCTCCATAAATTCTGCCTCAGATGTTGGGTTCACAGCAATGGGGACACTTTATAACCGCGAGTGTGAATGGAGCCTTCAGAACGTGTTGTTGTATGGTCCACACATACCAGCACCTCCCTAACCCCTATGACCTCTGCACCATTCCTGTGTCTCTCACGCACACAGAGACCCCATAAGCCCCTAAGGCCACCCCGCTCTTACATAAGGTAAAGAATGTCTTGCGAAGTCTAGCCGCGACCTTGGCTTTGACAGAGGCCTCCCAAAGCTCACTGCACTGTCTTATGATCACAAGTCACATGGGAGAGGGGGCTCTGATCTCCTCAGACTGCACATGACTCTACAAATGCTTTCTACAATATGAGCTTTGTGCTGCTCATCATTACACTTCATGCCATTGTCAAATATCCCTCCTTCAGATCAATATTGTTCTAGAAAATTCAATGGCATTATGTGTTGGCATTGATTGCCTTCAGAAACAATTCAGGTGTTGGTATTAACTGGTATTGGAGAATGATATTTTTTTACTTTATTCAAAGTCAAAACATTATAGATGTTTTTTATTGGATTGAATTGCATGTAAATCTCTTAATGTATCCAAAGTTGTCACTAAAGTTGACTTCCTTACTCACTTGCCCTAACATCAGTCCAAAAATATTCTATGGGTTTGAGATCAGGGCTTCGCAATTGCCACTCCAAAACATCGACTTGGTTGTCCTAAAGCCAACTCATTTTCTCTTTGGCAGACCCACTCATGCTGATGTCTTGAGATATTGCAGTACAGCAGCCCTACAATCTGAGACAGTCTCATGTGGTTGTGTATTGACTGTATATTCTAAATTTAGTTTTAGGCTTGTGATTTTAGCATCATTTTTGAACCAGCATTACTTTGCATGACACAGTATAATAGCACTTTAAACTACTATACTTGTTTTCTTTGGTGTCTTCCTGATATTGATTGACAGCTGCCATTGTGAGTAAGCCTCAGTTTAAAGGTGCTATTTTGAAAGTGTGGGAAATACATTTGCATTAACAGTAATTAACACCTAGACATGCTGGGGATGTTGCATGTTTAGACAACACTTTGATGGGTGTGAACCTCATCATGATAATTCTGTTGTTTTGGTCCCGTCTGCTCTTTCCCAACAGCTTTCGATTGTTCAAACATATACTTTGTGCCATTCCCCTAATCTTGCCTAAATACACCTTATGTCTTCCAGCCCGCACATTATCTTCCTGTCCCAGAGTGTCTTGGGTGTTTCTGATGGGGAATCCCCACCGGACGTGTCTCTGTGCGGGTCCCGGTTGTGTCATGAGATCGCACACTCCTGGTTTGGTTTGGTCATCGGGGCGCAGGACTGGACTGAGGAGTGGATCAGTGAAGGCTTTGCCACCTACTTGGAAGATATAATTTGGGCCCATGCTCAGAAAGTATGTTTTGTAGCTACAGTGCCTTGCGAAAGTATTCGGCCCCCTTGAACCTTTCAACATTTCGCCACATTTCAGGCTTCAACATAAAGATATAAAATTTAAATTTTTTGTCATGAATCAACAACAAGTGGGACACAATCGTGAAGTGGAACGAAATTTATTGGATAATTTAAACTTTTTTTAACAAATAAAAAACTGAAAAGTGGGGCGTGCAATATTATTCGGCCCCTTTGCTTTCAGTGCAGCAAACTCACACCAGAAGTTCAGTGAGGATCTTAGAATGATCCAATGTTGTCCTAAATGACTGATGATGATAAATAGAATGCACCTGTGTGTAATCAAGTCTCCGTATAAATGCACCTGCTCTTTGATAGTCTCAGGGTTCTGTTTAAAGCGCAGAGAGAACCATGAAGACAAAGGAACACACCAGGCAGGTCCGAGATACTGTTGTGGAGAAGTTTAAAGCCGGATTTGGATACAAACAGATTTCCCAAGCTTTAAACATCTCAAGGAGCACTGTGCAAGCAATTATATTGAAATGGAAGGAGTATCAGACCACTGCAAATCTACCAAGACCCGGCCGTCCCTCCAAACTTTCATCTCAAACAAGGAGAAGACTGATCAGAGATGCAGCCAAGAGGCCCATGATCACTCTGGATGAACTGCAGATAACTACAGCTGAGGTGGGAGAATCTGTCCATAGGACAACAATCAGTCGTGCACTGCACAAATCTGGCCTTTACTGAAGAGTGGCAAGATGAAAGCCATTTCTCAAAGATATCCATAAAAGTCTTGTTTAAAGTTTGCCACAATCCACCTGGGAGACACACCAAACATGTGGAAAAAGGTGCTCTGGTCAGATGAAACCAAAATCGAACTTTTTGGCCACAATGCAAAACGATATGTTTGGCGTAAAAGCAACACAGCTCATCACCCTGAACACACCATCCCCACTGTCAAACATGGTGGTGGCAGCATCATGGTTTGGGCCTGCTTTTCTTCAGCAGGGACAGGGAAGATGGCTAAAATTGATGGGAAGATGGATGGAGCCAAATACAGGACCATTCTGGAAGAAAACCTGTTGGAGTCTGCAAAAGACCTGAGACTGGGACGGAGATTTATCTTCCAACAGGACAATGATCCAAAACATAAAGCCAAATCTACAATGGAATGGTTCACAAATAGACGTATCCAGGTGTTAGAATGGCCAAGTCAAAGTCCAGACCTGAATCCAATCGAGAATCTGTGGAAAGAGCTGAAAACTGCTGTTCACAAACACTCTCCATCCAACCTCACTGAGCTTGAGCTGTTTTGCAAGGAAGAATGGGCAAGAATTCCAGTCTCTCGATGTGCAAAACTGATAGACATACCCCAAGCGACTTGCAGCTGTAATTGCAGCAAAAGGTGGCGCTACAAAGTATTAGCGCAAGGGGGCCGAATAATATTGCACGCCCCACTTTTCAGTTTTTTATTTGTTAAAAAAGTTTAAATTATCCAATACATTTTGTTCCACTTCACGATTGTGTCCCACTTGTTGTTGATTCTTGACAAAAAATGTTATTTTTATATCTTTATGTTTGAAGCCTGAAATGTGGCGAAATGTTGAAAGGTTCATGGGGGCCGAATACTTTCGCAAGGCACTGTATATACCCAAATGCATGTCAAACATCTACCATGTTACTAGCTAAGAAAATAAACACATCTGTGATTTGCCAAATACTTTTGAGACTATTGACATCAACTTAAAGGAGCTATACCAGTTTCTGCAAGGTTTCAATGTTTAGCACCGCCCCCCAACTCACTCGGAGGCTTCTCATTTCCCCTACGCTCTCATCCCACGGAGCCATTTAGTTGTATTTGGGATCTGATGCTAACATTAGCATTAGCGCAACTTAAGCTGAACAACAATCACTGATGAAATGGTACAAAAGCAACGCACTGCTAACAAAATATATAACTGAAAGATTACCGCTAGTTTCGCGTCCGAATGTTGTTTCTTGGATAATTTTTTCGCTTTAGTTCCCTCTTCTCTTCCTCACTGTTGTGTCTTTTGGGCTGTTTTGCTGTGTATAAAGTTACAGCAAGAAGAGTTATAGCCAATTCTGCTAACAGGCTACTGTTTTTAGCAGAGCTGTAGAAGCTAGAGGACGCCGCATAACAGGCGGTGCCTCCTCGTTCTGTGAGTGAAGAGCGAGCGTCACGCTCAAGTCTCTATTTGGCACATTTTACGGCCTGAATTCATACACAAGCTGAATCAATGAGCTCAAATTTTCAATTTAATTACAGATTATAATACAACTTGTATGTAGTAATAAGCATTTTTATGAACTCATAAAAAAAAAGAAAATTGGGTATAGCATCTTTAACTTTGTACATAGCAGAGCTGCATTTCACTTCAACTCTTGTTGCTTTCTGCGCTCACTACATTCTATTTATTTGATTTCCCTGATCCACCCTCGTCTCTGAACAGCTCTCAGTGGAGGAGGCAGCAGAACAGTCCGACCTCAAGGCACTGCTGCGGTGGAGACGTCTTTCAGATGAGCTCCAGAACTCACAAGAACAACTGCAAATCCTCCGGTGAGTGCCCACTAATAAACAAGCACTAAAGCCTCACAGCAAGAAGGTCATGGCACGCAAAAATGTCACTGCAGATCCCAAAATATTACGTGTAAAGCCCACAGACCCTGGCCTCACAAAAAATATTATTATTATACATTATTATTATACAAACTGCTTTTCTGTATAGCTCAAATAAAATTTAGCTGTTCAAATCTGACCAGTGAATATCAGTTTGTATGAGAGATTGAGGGTAGTTGAATGATTGCTAGTAGGGCTGGACGATATTGAGAAATAAATATATCTTGATATATTTTTCTTGATATACAAGATATATATAGATCTATCTAGACTCTGTATTCTGTATCTGTTTTAGCTCCGTATAAAGTTTTCAGTCTCAAGTATAAAGCCACAATGTTCAATGACAAAAGGTGCCACGTCCACCTCTGTTTCAAATGCCACAGACTCTGACGCTGCACCACCTGTGCTTCTGTCATATTCTACACTTTTCTACACTCATTTTGTAGACACATTTGTTGCCTCTGTTTGTCACAGGGAGAGGTGAATGAAGGACCCAATATGCAGGAATGCCAAAATAAATAAAAAAATTATGATGAAAAAACAAAAGTACAGGTGAAAACACACTCAAATCCAAAGGCACACGGAACCAGGAACAGGACAGAACAGACATTGACAAGACAATGGACCAGCAACCAGGGGAGAGGAGCACAGGCTACATATAGACCAGTGACGTGCGGTCAGATGAGGCAGGTGAGGCAAGATCATGGAAAGAAAAAAGAATACAATGGAAACAATAATACTTGGTCATTATAGCAAGTGATTTGTGCTATTGTATTATTTCAATGTAACTTTTCCTTATTTCATTTTTTTTTTTTTACCTTGAAATTGCATATTTGACAGAGCGGCGCGCTGTGAGGCGAGCCTCACTTGAGAGACGTAAAAGCCCATAGCTCACTGGGGTAGAGGCCCGTGCGCTGCTATCGAAATGTTTTCTCTGTTTATTGCTGTTTCAAGTTCAAACATATTTCCTTTACAATCAACATGTCTACAGTTGAGAGGATGGGTCATAAATTGTGTTTTTGACAACAAATATGGATCTTAATTGCGCTCAACCACAGCTTGTAATATCCCCAAGTGAGGCCAGCCTCAGGATAGGGGGCGCTTGGTAGCCCAGAATTCGACTGCATCCAATTTCATCAGAAAGATCCTTTCTTGTTCTCCTTCTGCTAAGGGCAGCTACAGGTTTGGCTGGGTTTTATATGGTGGTTTTTATAATCATTAATATTAGTGATAGTCTGTAACTCTATATGAATTACAAATTTTAAGAATTGTATTAAATTGACCTTAAATATTGGCCTTAAATATTGATATGAAATAAGTCATTTTATGAATTCTAATATTACGGGTAAGTCCCGCCTTCCCTTCTCTTAGCTATAGCTAGAAATCCACGATGCCGTCCACGTTAAACAATCAAGTCATGCCAAGGGCTGTCAATCATCGGCGCTGATGCTCGTAGCTGCAGTTGTTTGTTTTCGTGGAGCCTCCAAATCAAGCCTTTATAGGCTCTGGAACTTCATGAAAACTTACCAAAGAATTCTGAACATCCGCGTTACCCATTTATATACTGAACCCATCCATCCATCCATTTTCTTCCCTTTAATCCATTTCTGGGTCAGGGGGGTGGCAGTCAGAGATGCCACCCAAGTCTCATAGCACCAGCCCCTCACTGACCCTCTGCAGGTGGTGAGTCCACAGGAGGACGGCTGCTCTCTGACTGTGAGCATAGCCTTGATCTTTCAGTGGGGGCTTTGGGCAAAGTGGGGTTAAGTGTCTTGCCCAAGGACACAACAACAGCAGTCATCAGTGGGAGTCGATGGAGAAGGTGCATAGGTGGGAATTGAACCCACGACCTTCTGGCCTTAAGGCCAATGCTCTACCAACTGAGCTACTGTCGCCCTATATACTGAACCTATATCCATAATCAGATCCTCTGTAGATGTGTCCTATAATTTTCAATCAACGTTAATAGCTTCTTCCGGGTTTACCGTGATCGCCTTTTGTGTGCATTTTTGTCATGAAAACGTTAACAAATAATTCTGAAAACCTCCGTGCATGTGTATTAATTATGTATAAGTATAATGTGTTCTCAGATTAACATTTAAAAGTGTTACGAAAACGTAGGCGTAGACCAATCAGAAAGGAAGGGGGAGGGAGCTTGGGTCGTTTTTTTCAAATACTGTACCTCTCTCTCTTTTTTCTGACAAACTCCAGGCAATCACTTTAAGATCATTTAAAAAGCATTTAGGGTAATTTTTTGCTTCCAATGACAATAGGAATGATAAAGAAGAGAAGTGAAGGGTAAGGTTGATTTTAGAAATTGGATGCACCTGAGAGTCGGCTGCAGCTAGCGAAACACAAGAGGAGTTTATGGAGAAGAGACCCATTTTGTTGTACTTTTTAAAACTCATTGGACTTATTTCCAAATATTTCCAATTACATATCCACGCTCAAACTAGTATCTGGACTTAAACATGAAACTGGTCTGAACTGAAGTGGTCTGTGCTGTTCATTAATAACTAAGTTAAGGCCCATAACACACTTGAAAATGTGCTTTTTACGAACTTTTGCATTTTGTATGAACAAACAATGCAGGCATGAAACATATTCTGCTGTAGCCAAACTAATTGTAAAAAAAGCCGCTCTGTAGGTCCTGTTGATTTATATGATATATATGTTCATCTGATTGGGGTGAAGTCAGTTCCTCACCAATCACCAACCTCACCACACGTCACTGATATAGACACAGATGACACAGATAAGGGCGGGGCAGACAATCAACAGGGAACAGGACAGGAAGTCAAACAGAGAACTTATGTCAAAATAAAACTAAATACAGAAATAAAATTCACACCATGACACTGTGCATGTTTACAGTCTCTGCGTCTAGCTTAGCAGTGTGTTGGATGAGACACACTGAGAAGAAGAAAGAAGGGACGGGGCGAGCGCAACGCTGTGAAGGTGAACGAGCGAAGCGGCAAAAGTGAAATACAAACATTGATATATACAATATGTCAAAATTCGAACACAAACAATAATAATACCGATTTAACGTAAATATATTTATGTATCCCACCCCTAAATTTAAAATCACTCTTTCTACATTGACATTCATAATTCAGGAATTTATGTGAAATATCTGTAAATGTGTCAACAAGGGAAAGCCCGTTGGATGAGGTGGCAAAAGAAGAGATTTACTTCCCTATCAGTCTCTAAAGTTAGTCATGTGAAAACCAAGGGCATAAAATAATGAAATAGTTGATACCAGATGAACGGTCTTGTCACACCAAGTATCTCAAGAGAACAGACACCGTTCCATCTGACAATAGGCAAGGTAAACACACCAGTCACAGCAGGGTATCTAAAACTATATGCTATGAATTCAAATATGCTATGAAAATGTTTTGTATGCTAAACTTAATTTTTTTCTGGCATAAAGCATATTTTCCAACGGGATAAACACTCCAACACACTGCTCTGTTGGCAGTTGTGGCTGTGGAAGGAACAGCAAATCAATGTGCTATTGATTGCATGGCAGATGTGTTTAACACCAGCATGTTAACCACTAATAATGTGCTAAACCCAATCTGAGACTGTGTGGAAAAGTTGCTTGAAAAGAAAGCGTTTTTCAGTGAATGGGCTGTCAAATTACTTAAACACAATGAGCATTTTTTCTGCTTTTTTGACTCATTGGAATAAAGAAAACATGAATATCAAGAAAACTGCCTTTCAATTGAAAAAAATTTAAAACAATATTGTATTTTTAGACGCCAAACAATTAATTTAACTTGTTCAATTTGAATGTCTCATGAGGCATTTGTAATCAGTCGAGATTACTGTTTTTTTAACATTGGTAATTTAGCAACCAACTTCGCCAACTGCCAGTATGCACATGTTATACCTCACTTTAAATCTCATAATCTGAAGAATTGTTGTCTATTATTGAGGAGAAGCCTGCAACACAATGCCATCCTACCAATGTCAGATGTGCTAACAAAAGACATGCTGTATATAATTTTAAAGCTTAGATCCTCTAGAAATCAGTAGTTGGTAAGCTACCATCGTTCAGATGACTTTAGCTCCATCAGACGTAAATCCATTCCAAAGCTCCCACCAGCCTGAACACAGTTTGTAAACCTGTTTTACAATTTTTATCAATGAAAAATTGTGTAATTGGAAAGGGAAGTCCAGGCGTCTCTTCTTGGACTGGAGCACAAGAAAATGGCTAGATTCATGGATTAAAAATTGGTTCTACATCTTTAAACGAAAGAGCAGAATGCCAAAAAATTTGTATCCGCGTTGGTTCCACAAAAACCAAATAATTCAGTCGCTAGTTTTTTTGTCTCTTTTTAACACACAAATTAGTGAATGTCTACCCCCAAAACCATGTATACTGCCAACAAGTGAGTCAATGCTGTATACAAATGGTTAACAGAGCCTTGTCAGTGTGTTCTGCGCCTGCACAGTAGGTTACACCTGGAGCAGGGTTAGGTTTCTTCCACTGATGGGGTTAGAGCAACAACATCAAACTATCACCTGAAAAATGCAAACACCGGGACACATGCTGAGACACATGCCCCCGATACACGCCACGCTATAATGAGATGCCAGGCTATAATGCCTGGAGTGCACATTAGCGGTGGAAAAAAACAGTCATTTCTTAAGTGGTGCCCATCGGAGTGCCTTCTTAATCCTGGCTTTGAGTACTGATAAAACGTGTAGAGACATAAAAGAACGCGGCCCATGCATTATCTCACCGGCTGAGTATGTGTGTGGTACTCTGTGCAGGAGTATGGTAAATGCAACACTTTAACAGGCTTTCAGTGGAAGGCTTAAACAGATTTACTGATAAAAGCTAATTTTCAGAACCAAGGGCAGGAAATGAGAATAAACAAGAAGTGATTTATTGTGGAATTATGAGATGAACGGTGTGAAGATCTTGG